GCTCGCAATTTGTATAAATATATTAGGTTTCGATATCAAATTACGAGTCCCAACAATAACCGGGAAAAGATGGCTCGCAGCCATTGTATTTCTCAGCTTTTGTTTATTTTTTAATGAGTTCCCCAATTGCCGCTGCATCATCTTTTGCTTGTTTATTGTTTTTGTGGACTTTTGACATGTGTTTCTACATTTCAACTGGCCCTCGGTTCAAATAACTTGTATTGCTTAAGACATTTTTTGAATACTTTCTCAGCCAGTGTAGTTGTAAAATACTTTTTTTTTGCGAATATTTATCTACCTTTCGTTTATTTCTGCTGCCCTGCCTTACTTTTGGCCGTTTGTAATCCTGTGCCAGCAGCTGTCTTTTGTAATTATGCTCTTCCGTTAACCCTGGGCAAAAAATATTGCATAAACAAATCGAGAGGTAGACAACAAGTTGGCCAGGTGTTTCGGCTATTCAACGTGTTTCCCTTCACACATAAAACCCAATGATCTATAAACTGCATTTAAATAAATTATCACAACAAAGGGCGCTGAGCAGCAAAATGCAGGTGAGATGCAACATAAGTAGGAGAGAAGAAGAGGGAATATCGTGAGATTTTTATGGGGCGTTCCAGATAAACAACTCTGAGCCGGCAAAAAGTTAAAACTTAGGGGAATTTATCAAAGTGTTCAGTATGTTGAGGGAAATACTTTTAAATGGGAAACTGTAAAGGTAACTGAAAGAGTTACAGTTATGGGTTGATAGACAGCTGTAGAGGATGTGTAGAAAAAGCTCTGACTACTTTAAGCATATAAAATGAAATACCAAAAACTTAAGTTCGCACACCTAAGATGCGTGTGGAATGCAATTCTAACTACTTCGCCTTGAATTGCTGTGCATCATGTCAACCGTCTTTTAATTGATTCATAGATATATTAAGCACATAATAAAAACCTCTTGAATTAGTTCGCCAAGCAAAACTCAAATGCAGATAAAGCAACTTTCAAGCAAGTCATCAAAAGTCAAGCACGAGACTTTATAAACAGCTGCGATAATGATTGCAAATCAAATTGCGTTCAGGAGTTTTCTAAATCATTCAATTGTAAATAGATGCAACAAAAAATTAAAAAAGCAAAAAAAAAAAACAAGTTGCCAGCACTCTGTGAGCAGTCGTGTAGTCAAGTGGGCAGCGCCTTGAGCCGGCTGAGACAGCGAATTGATTGAGCAAATTATTGGCGATTAAGCGGCGTGTTGACTATTTATAAAAAGCCGAATGGGGGGCTGGGGCTAGAGATAAATTCAACCAGCTATTGGCATTAATTGATTGATGGCTTGTTTAGATTAGAGAAAATGAAAGTTCGGCACGAAATGGGTCAAACAAGAGGCCATAGATACAAGTTACACTTACAGATATAGATACAGATACATTTGGGCATTAGATACAATGCTGCTACTGCATGTTTGAGCCCACGCTGCCTGCATTTCCCTTCTTGTTGCGGCTGTGCTTTGAGCCATGGCTAATCAACACACGCACTCACACTTTATCAGCTCATTAGCTGCTACGTGTGGGGATATATAATGTACCTATATATATATAGATATACGATTTCACGATTCCCCAAGTCATGGGGCCAGCTCGGCTAACTGATATTTACACACGGCAGGCGGGAAAGCTGCAACGGCTGCTGTTTGCCCATTCAAACAAGAAATAGAAAAAACTGTTTAAAGAATGCATTCTTCAAGCCTTCAATTTTTCAATACTTCATTGATTTTTAACGCGGCTCTGTTTTTTTTTTTTATTTATATATATTTTTGTTGTTTGCTTCTTGTTAACTGCATTACACAATGAGCAGAGTGCTGGAAATTTAGATTTGTGGGAAAATGCCGCAGAGACCTCGGAACTGCTGTGTGCCCCTCTAATACCGCCCCCTTGCGTCGCCTATGTGCTGTTGCCTGTCATTGACTTTTATTTGTTTTTAATTTTTTATTGACATGTGAAGTTTGTAGAAGTTTAGTGAACTTTACTGTGGGTTTTCTATTGCCTTTTACGCTACAACATCGCCTCGCGGCCAAAGCGTGAAAAGCAAAAGTTTTGAACTTGCTTTTGGCTTCTCAGTGTTATCATTATTTTTTATTGGGAAATGCATTGGTCAAGGGCTTCTTTCTAGGAAGCCAAAGTGCCGCAAGTCTTTAACATGCATATTGATGAGTTATGGGGGGGTCTGGTTGGGCTTATAGAATCTGAATGCCGAATGCTCAGCTCGACGCAAGCCATGGCATTCCGTTAACAAGTCTTTGTTCGTATTTAAAGTTTTTAACCTAAATCAATTTTAAACATTTGTCTTCAAGATACTATGAATTGATTCTAACGCTTTGGAATTTAAAGGAAATTTATTTTAATCTTCTACAGTGGATGCTTACAAATTTTAAGTGTTTGGGTGGCTTCTTATTTTGATACATTTGATTCTGTCATTTTCCTTATGCAAATATAAATAAATTTCAATGGTAATCAAATCAAATTTTTATTCATTTTTAATTTATTTTTTTTGTTAATTGTCTTCAAAACCTAAGGGATTTTTGAAAAATCGATATACAAATTTTATGCGAAAACTAAAAGAATAATACATGTTTTCTCAATAATATGCAAATAAAGTTCAAGCCTTGGGCAGTTTAACCAAAGACAATAAAAGACAAATTAAAAAATAATGACAATTTTGATTTAAAAAAGGATATAAGAAGATTTTAAATTATATTAAGTAAAAAAATATATATATTATTTATTATTATTGTCTTTCGTAAAACTATCCACATTCTAAAACATTTATTAAAAAATCTAAACATTATTTAGAATTATTATTATTTTTTTTTTTTGGGACTACAGTATACATTGTTTTATAGTTTCTGCTTTAATAAAAATGAACTCATTAAAATAATTTTCATATTTAAAAATGTAGATCTCCAATTAGAAAGAATTGAAAATTTAATTATATTAAATATCTACGCCAATCTGTTGTGAATGTACAAACAGATATCTTAGGCAATTCAAACAGTATTACTCCGTGTGAGCTCGATTGGGTAAATAAGCATATGAAGCCTATCATAATATATTCCCTAAAAATTAATCGTTAAATTCGGTTATACATATTTTTAGTTCTTATCTGACTAGGTCAACAATGTTTTAGAAGCGCTCAAAATACTGTCAACAAACGCCAACATTAACAACATGATTATCATAAAACTTCTCTCACTTTGTCGCGCCTTAAATTCCCAACTCTAAATATATCCACAGGCAATTCTTTTATAAATTCACAGCGCAATCTATTAGCAAGTCATAAGCTCTAAAAAGCGACCACAGGAATGCATCTTTTCGAGCAAGCAATCAGTTTAGGCCCATAACAAATTTCAACGACTCGACACGATAAGCCACTTAATTCTGTATAACCAGTTAGCAGAAGGCCCGTTCTCATCGTCATTGCCGTCGTCGTCTACCGCATTGTATTAGACCCTAGGCGGAGTTTTGGTCAACACCTTTGCGAACTACCAGCTGGAACATATGTTCCTATTAGCGCGTGTTGCGGTTCCTGCCTGACATATTCCATACGATGCTCGGCTACGCACGCAACTCGCCCAACCATTATGTGCTCCAGAGGGTTATGTGTCTCTAACAATTGGCCATTGTGTACATTGTTGTTGCTGTTGTATGTGAGCTGTTGTTGCTGTTGTTGTTAGGGCATCTTCTTTAGGCACGACCACAATTACCAGAGTGTAGAAGAGTAGGCGGCATCACTCTAGAGCCTGGCGCTATTGTCCTCCGTAAGGGGTCATGTGTATGTGCGCCTCTCAGATGGTCTCATAGAAAAATGCCCAAACCCACACACACACACACACACACACACACACACACAAGCACACAAACCCCTATGTTATATTATTAGAGAGCTGTACATTCAATAGAGCATGTGCCTTTTTTTTGGGTTTTTCCACATTGATTGGTTTTGTTCTTGAGTTCGTGTTGTGGGTCCTTAAAGTATTTTCAATTGCTATCCAATTTTTTCTTTGTTTTGACTATGACTAACAGTTGTTGTTTTGTTTGTGTTAATCAGATGTTAAATAGACTTGAACTTGAGTAAAAAAAGACATATTTCAGACTCATTTCTGCGCATACATAAATCATTTCATTTATAATGGGGCGTATTCATTATATTTCTTTCACCTTGGTATGTCAAAAAAGCAATTAATTAATAACAATTTTTCGCAAATTGAAAATATTATTCGAAGATCTTTATTAAGCGTGTTTATAACTTTTGCTAAAATTTCTGTTCTTTAAACTAGAATAATAACCACTTTGATCTATAATCTGTTGCTCAAGTAAGTTTTTGAACTAAATTTTAAATGTAATTAAACTGGAGAGAGAGAGAGATTTAATTTGAAATGATGAAAAGTTTTATATATACTGCTGATATGAATAGAAATATGGTTCTATAACCGAGTTGTAGATGCTCAGTTGCTCAAGCAGGTATGCAGCTATGCAGATCGCACGCCTAATAGGCAAAGTTCACATGACAAAGCCTTTGCGCTGGCCAAGAAGAAGCACAAGAATAGCAAATGTTGAGCATGGAGCAGCAGCAGCAAGCCCCACTGGGCGAGACAACGGCAAAGGCAACGACAACATTGCTGGCCCATAACTGGACCTCTCACGTAATAACGTATAGAATTACTTGTAAAAAAAAATAAATAAAAAAAAATAAATAAATAACTGAGCTAAGAAAATAAGTAGAAAAAATCTCTTCCTCCTGTCACAACTTTCACATGAAAGTTCTTTCAACTTGAGCGCCCAAATATGGACGCGCGTTGGACACGTCGGACACGACATGGTCGCGGCCAGTAGAAGGAAGCCGCAGTAACGAGGCGACTTCTTTTTATTTTTTTTCCCGTCTGCCACTGGGCTCAACAATCGATCAAAGCCATATTAAGAACTGTTTGGTCCAGGCTCATAGTTATGGCCACAATGACTTACCATTGGTATTCGATTTGCTTTCCGTTCTTTGGAGGCGTCCGTTGCGTCCACGCTGTTTGGATCTCTTGCCCGTTCTAGTGCTGCTGCTGGCATTGATCTCGGAGGAAGCAGCTGCCTGGTCGGTCGGCTCAGCGCTGATGTTACTTTCAATTAGCAGGCCACTTTTGGTTTTACGCCGACGCGGATTTTGTCCGCGAGTTGAGCTCGACTTGCGTGCATGCTGTATGCGTGCGCCGGTCCAGGACACAATGCTCTCCTCCTCCAGCTGCTCCACGGAGCTGCCATTGAGTGCGGTGAGCGTTGTATATTCCTTAAGCATTTGGGCGGGTGACTGCACTTTCAGGCGTTTCAGTTGTGCGCTGGAACGCCTGCCTTGAGCCTGCTGCTGACTTAACAAGAGGATCAGCAGCTGCAGTAGAAGGTAGCATTTGGCCCAATTGATAAGCTTTCTGGTTTTCATTTTCTTTTGAAATGTGCAAAACCCAACTCAAATTTTACACAAAGCACATTTTACACTTGAACTTGGTGCCTTAAATTTTAGATGAATATTTTTATTTGACTTGTTTTAAGCCCCTTTTTTATATTATGATATTTTTGTATTACACCAAACGCGCACTCAAGCACATTTCCAAGAATTTTCATTCATAATTTTATTTAATTTGTATTCTTTTCTTTTTTTCTCTTTCAAATCTTTTTTACAATTTCCGCTTGTCAGTTGTCGTCGCGACGTTTTTGGCTGACTTTTATTTTTATTATTTCATACACATTTCCTTTAGCACTCTATTTGACTTGAATTGCGCATACGCTACTCTTTGCATTTCAGCTCATTTCTATCCCATTTCTCATTTATTTTACGCACATTTTTGCGCTATTTAATTTTATTTCTGTTGCACGTTTTGGCCCCTTTTGCACGCGGCGACAGCGACAAATTTTTCTTTGTCTATTTTCGTATATCCTCAACACAAGTGCGCAAAAAAAAACAATTTTTATCAATACATATATATATATATATATATACATATATATATATACATATATATATATATAGGCGCGATCTGTGGTTGCAGTTGCATAAAGCACTTTCGCTTTTATTTATTATTGGCACTGCATTATCATTTAATTGCCAGCAATTTTTATGACACGCTCATTTATCAGCAATAATACTAACTACTAGTAGCACTAAGTATCCCACTCGGAACTAGCGACAACTGAGACCGAACGCACCGACAAATTACGATCTGAAAACTGAAACGCATCCGGCTATCGAGCGAGTGCCGCGTCCTACACAAACGACCGTCAAATCCAAACTGAGCCGAACACTCGTGCCGGCTTGCTGATCGTGCCGCCTGTTCGTTGCACTCAGTGATGCCAACTTGGCTTGACTTGATAAAAAAAGCCAAGCGCTGAAGAAGCGCTGCATCTTATAAACGGAAATCATAACGTTCTTTATTATTCCAATATTAAACATATTATATTCTCCACACGAATTTGCAATGCAGCTATTTGTATCGTACGAAACATTCTAACTACAATTCTGTATATTTGGATTAATTATGGCTTACCTCAGAGTTTTTGGACTTGCATAAAAAATCTAAGAGCTATTGATAAAAATATATACAAATCTTAATGATTTGTTGAATGTCAGCGTATTTAAAGATTTCCTTTATGAAAGTGCTGAATAACATAACTCATAGCTAAATAAATTTAGCTAGACTGCATACTTCAATTTTGAGTTTAATTCATGTTCATTTATTTTATGAGAAAGCATTATTATATAAATTCTTCCATGGATAAAATACATCTAGTCACTCTATAAGTAGCCTACAAATCGTACACACACGATTTTCACATTGTTTAATAGCTAGTTCTGGCAGCAAAAAGGCCACATGAACAGCACTGGTTGCAAGTGGCATTGGGATCGTGTTGATTGTGTTTTTGTGGAACGCATTGGGCATGCTCTTGCGTTCCTTATAGCGCAACATGCTGCACTTGCAGACCTTCTAGAAGATATGCAAGCTAAATAAAACAAATCTCTTTTAAAGGCATAAATTTGTTCAGTTTCATTTTTTTTTTTTTCAAAATATTCGGGAATATTTTGTTTTTTCTTAGCTTGCAATTTTAATTGCTTGTTGAAAAACGTTGTGGGAATTTTTAAAAAATAATTTAAATTTAGAAACTAGTTTATGAATATAATGAAATTTCCTATAAATGAAAATAAAATAAATAAACTAATAAATTCTAAAGTTAAAATTAAAAACAAACTTTATATATGTTTATAAATATTCCAAATTAATAATGAGTTAAATATAACAAATTATTTTGATAAACATTGTTTAAAGAAGAATTAAACAGAATTTTTATGTTACTTAGAAAAGACCTACATATAGATTTATTTTACCCAGAACAGTTATATCGCCTTCTCGATGAGTTTAAATAGTTCTTATGTCAAGCTAAGCTCTTAACATGTTTTTTTTTTACCGGCAATTGTTTTGTTTACATTTCTTGAAACTTACGTTCCACAAGGAGGGATTATTTGTATGCTCTTTCCTTTCACTCATATTTTTCTCTTTTCTTTTCTCTTTGGTGGCGACTTTGGTGCGTTCGCTAGTGTTTACCTGTTGATTTTCCAGTGTTGTTCTTCAGCTGTGACTTTTACAGGTACTTGAAATATAGAAATACGTATTGGGTTCAATGGGATTTTCCGGTGTGCTAAGGAAAAACATTTCTTGACCGCCCGCCGGCACCTTGCCCTTGTCTCTGGCATTTTACACTTTATTGTTTGGCCCTAAATTCGTTTTGACAGTTGCCAGTTAGGGACGAAGGGAAGGACACAACTGTCCAACGGGCATTCCTGATTATCCTTGCGGTGCTTTTGTTGTGCTCTCGTGTTTTCTTTTCTTTTTTTTTGTTTTTTTGAGCAGCAGGTGATGCATCCGCAACGAATGGCGGCACTTAACGCCAGGCAACACGGGCTTAACAATGTATCTGTTGCGAAAAGTATCTGAAAGATACACTTGAGACTGAGCTTAGTAACGGTGGCGCACGTTTCATGTTGCCCGCCGGCTATTTGCAACTCAATTCGTGGCACTCACATAAATACCTCATCCTCGAAATGCAGCGCCTAATAAGTTCACCACGGCAAAAGTATCTGGCAGTACGTTTTGTATCTGATGCAATTTGTTGCCGCTGCAACAACAACAGCAAGCATCAGCAGGCTCAACACTCAGCACATCGAGCGAGCACAAAGGGCATTTGTCGAAGCGTGAAACAGCAGTTTCACGAGCTGCTGCTGCAATTGCAGCGCCTTATTTACGGCACCCTTGTGCACTCCTCCGGTTCGAACTCTGTGCAGACCATCGTCATACCGACAAGGATTAAGTCGGCCGCCCTTTGTCTGCGCCGTTTAAATTGGTTCGTTTACCAAAATGAAAAGAAATGCGGCAACGAGTTAAGCAAAGGTTCAGCTCTGGTTGCGTAGGCTGTGCGCCTGCCCAGTGCCTGTTTAAGTGCCCTGTTTAAGTACTTGAGGATAACGATGTGTACGAGCTGGATGATCATCATCATCTCATCATCATCATCGTCATGGTTGCTGCTGATTTCCTTGTGATTTATGCGTCTTTATTGAAATGATGGCTTACAAATTGTTTGGCCGCAGAGACACGTTTGGCCTTGGCATGCCAACAAGTTTGGTTTCTGTTTCTGGGAATGGTTCGGTTAGACGTGAATTGAGAGTTAGGATTGGCCTCTTGATGAAGTGTGACAACTTCCTGCGGACAATTGAAATCTATTAGAGTTTGAAGATGGCATTAAGGAGTTTGTGAAAAAGGAAGGAGGAAAGGAAGAAAAACAAATAGCTTGGCAGGCATTTGACGAATGCGCTTAATAATATGCGCGCCTTATTAAGCCTTTAATAAATAGTTTTCAAATACCATCTTTAGGTAGATGTGTTTTTCAGTTATTTTGGTATTTTAATAGATTCTATGGAATTTTACCACAAAATAACTTAACGTAAAACCCTTGGATATATATCCTTGTGGGCATTATGAAAGTGTGTTTTATTCTATCGAATCTATTTACATACTTAAAAACAGCTTTTAAATGTCATCTTTAGATAGATGTCTTTTTCTTTTTGATATGCAATTTTGTTCTATTAAACTCTTCCCCAAATTAACTTTACCCAAAGCACTTGGAAATATTCTAGCGCAGGCGAAGTATACAGTTTTACAAATAGCTTTAGTATCCCAGCTTTACGCAGATGTCTTTTTTTCGTAATTGTATCTAAGAAATTCCAGTCCAAGTTCACTTCTTCCAAAGCACTTGTTAGTTCAAGACCCTCAAGTATATATCCACCCACTTTATGACCCACTGAAGAACTGCACGTTTTTATTTTAAGCTTTTTTTTTGGAGGGGTAGCCTGTGATGCAATTTTTCATGACCAGATAGAAATCTTGGCTAAGTTTCGTCTGTGACTTTCACACAGCATCTAAAAGGAACTCGTGTATTCAATTTTCTAATAGCCGCCTTCTAATCAAAACTAAGGCATCGTACAGGCTTGTACAGTTCTCTAGGCGCAAAACCAATTAAGCCAATAGATTGTTAGGAGCAGGCGGCTGGGAGAGGAGCAGGAGGAGTCACAGGCCGAGTTGCAGCAAAAACAAAGCTCATACAAATAAGGAAGTTTCTGTGCGCGGCTGCAATCTGCGGCGTAGAGCAGCAGGCGAAAAAAGAAAAAAAAACACAAAAACAAAAACTAAAATCCAAATAAAATCAAATGAAATTTACCGCCAATGCCACAACGAGTCTTATTTCTGTTCGGTATCGATGCCCAGAGTCCAACTTTGGAAGCGCCAAAAACGTTAAATACAATTCATGGCGCTCACGAGCGGAATTTAAATTATGCCCAATTAGAGTTAGGTGCCAGCTGAGGCGCAATCTCAAGACTCTGAAGTCTGCTGCTGCGGCTGCGGCTGCTGCTGCTGCTGCTGTCTCGGCAATTCCTGTGGGGGCAACAGGCGTGGTGGGCGTGGCATGTTTGAAGCACGTTCGTGTGCTAAAGCGCCAAATTGATTTCGATCGCCCATGGGGTATTTTTACCAGTTGCCAACTGCCAACTGCCAACTACCTAGTTCTCAGTGTTTGTTTCTACCACTCGCAACATATGTCTAATCCGTTGCAAGTTGCAAGCTGCTCGCAGCGGTTGCCTCACATGTTGTTGCACGCTCTTGTTTGATGGATTACGCGTTGACAGGCTTTGGTTTGCCGGAGCGCCACTGATTGTGCTTCACTCGCCTTGGGAACTGGTCTTGTTATGTAAATTGCTGCGAGTTTCTTGTGGGTGCACATCGAGTCCACAAAAAACTATATACAAGTGCTAACAAGGTTGCCTTTTTTAGTCAACTTTTGTCTGCGCTGTAGCCAAAAAATATGCTCAAAACGGGGCTTAATGGAAGAAAAGCAAGT